TACACACACACACACACACACACACACGAGCACGCACCCTTTAAGATCAAGCCACAGCAAAGAACTTCAGCGCCAATTTAGTTCTCCTGGCTGTATTTGCATTTCTCTTCCTGTTTCTAATATTTGGTTCTCGTTATTTGCATTTTGAAAGGTTGCCCAGTAACACTTTAAGGTGTTTGCATCATGACTGATTTATTTCTTATGTAAGTCGTGCGGAAAGAATCTAAATAGTGTGATCCCTTGGGAAAGGTTTCTGGCCCCGGAGACCTCCCTTCCGGCTCTCCTCCCTCTGCTGTTGCTCAGGACACCAACTCTAAAGCGTGTGGCTTTAAAGGGGCCCATGTATTTGTGACCCGGGCATCGGTAAAGAGGCCCGATGTCCTCTAGCCACTTGTGGCTGCACGGTAGAAGTCAGAGCTGAGAGGAGACCAAGGGAATTAGCCGTGAGGACTGGTCAGCAGGAGCAGCTGCCGGGGTCTGTTTGGCCGTGTCCATGTAGGGGTCGCCACACATGCCCTGTCATGGACAGCCGGCCGGGGGATTGTGCAATGTTCCAGGCTTGTGTCAGGAACACGCCAAGGAAGCTGCCCTCTCCTCCTGCCTCAGAGCTCCTGGCTCAGGCAAGTTGGATAGTCCTGACCAAAGAATGGGGCTCTGGGACTGAAGCGACATTCCAGTGTGGAGAGCAGTTGCCTTGCACACGGCCAACTGGGTTCGATCCTCGGCATCACATATGGTCCCCCTGAGCACTGCCAGGAGTAATTCCTGAGTGCAGAACCAGGAGGAACCCCTGAGATCTCCCGGCATAACCCCACCCCCCAAAAAAATTGGAATCTGCTCATCTTCCTTAAACCCCTTCACTTTGAATAAACATTCAAAATCAGATTTTCTAAGTGTGTGTTAGATTTAGAGCAAGGAACTCTTAAAATAATCTTATGGTGGCATCAGTTACCAAATAAGTTTGTTTTGCTTTGCTTTGGGGACGCAGTGCTCTGCAGTCATTCCCGCCTCCAGAGACCATGCAGTGCTGGGGACCAACCCAGCTCTCCTGTCTGTGAAGTGTAGACCCCAGCCCAGCCCCCAAACACATGCCGTAGGAAAGTCAAGATTCCTGACCCACGGGGTTGCATCAGAGATTTCCTTTCCTCTAAAACCCTCTTTTTCCACCTAAACAAGATCCTATTTCCTAGCGAGGTGTTACTCATGTAATAGCTTAACTGCACAGAAGTCCACCCTTTCTGGTGTACGTCCAGCCCTTGGCGTTGAATTCAAGAGATCTCTGTTAGTCTCAGATTCTTTTCTTACTACTTAATGATCTGGAGTGTAAGTGTGAGCCACACACTGAGATAAATACACACTTCTCTTTTCATCTCTGTGAGAATTTCAGTTTGTTGTAAACCCATGAGAATTCTGTTATGTGTGTGCAGATATCTTGGATCTCACTAGCCAGACATACATTCTGCCATTTCTAACGTGGGCCTCAGTCTCCGATTCCTCCTGTCAGTTTTTGGAGGGATCCGACCCTCGGAACATGCTCCTCGTTCACCCACTCACCCGGGGACCAGGGAGACTCAGCTTGTTGCTGTAAGTTACGCCTCCTTCACTGTGTCACCTGCCCGCATCACTGGTGCTATGGCCCAGTGCATGTGATCTAAACATGCATGACCCAGTGCCGCAAGGTGGATGGAGGGAGTTCCCATTGGCCCTCCCGACTTCTCCCAGGGTTGCACATTCCCTCTGTCCCCAAGGCACACAGATTTGAACCAGTGAGTAGGACACGAATATCCACAGCTGTCCTGGACCCCAGACTTTAATGAGATCCCCCACTTCACACGCACCTCTGTCTCTCTCCAAATATGCATCCCAGGAGCCACACTTCTGTCCCCTCTCATGTCCTTTCCAGGCTGTGGCATTGCCCAGTCTTGACTGGCCGTCCGTCCCCGCCCTGTGCTCCCCCACACACGTCCTTTTGTGGTGTAAATGCTCTCTCTCTCACACACACACTCACACACAGCCACACACACACACCCGTTGGGTTGTATCTATTGTGTCTTTGCTCCTTCTCTGTCTTGCCGCCCTCTCTCCCCAGGCCAGGTCCTCCATCTCCTCCTCTGCAAACCAGCCTTGAGGCGAGTCTGGCCGAGGCTTTAAGAGCAACTCACTTTGGTCCTCTCCAGAGTCTGGATGAAAAGAATTCTCTGTTGGATTAGTCTGAACAATCTTTGCCCCTGTTCTGGCTCAGAAAGGTTTCAAAAACACGTTCTCCGAACTTGCTGAAAGTTACTGAAATGAGTGAGAACCAATGGATACTCCCAGCATAAAGCTGCTCTGCATGACATTCATATAATTGCTTTGCATGTGTGTGTGATTTAATTGTTGTCATAGCTTGGTAATAATTTATTCAAGAAATAGCACTTCAACCTGGGATAACGTGTTCAAAAGAATTCTTTTTGGGGGGAGTGGGGTGTGGGTGCAACAAGTCCTTTTTTTTCTCTGTCTGTTCTCCATCTCCCAAAGTTATTAACTTGTTTCCTTAAATTCAAATGGACACAACGATACGCAGGTTCTGGCATGTACACATAGGCAAACTTTTTCTCCCTCACAGTCAGTAAAATTTCACTAAACTTCTGCAAGCATCAAAGCCTCGGCCCCTCCCCCTGCAACAGTCCTGGGAGCCGTTGAGCCTCGGTTCTAGGGCAGTTGTGCACTGGCGTCTCTCTGGCTTGACTTCTGGCATTTTGAACTCTTTGGTCTTTTAGAGAATCCGTGTTCATAAGAGACCCCGATGAAGAGAAAGCTTCCCTGCAGAAATCCATCAGTATTACCAGGGCTTTGGTCACAGAGGAGGACACAGAGCTGGAGAAGCTGAGAAATGAGGTCGAGTCCCGGCCCCGCCCACGTGGACCCGAGCCACGCCCATCTCTGCCCGGGCCACACCTACCTGGGCCGAGCCACGCCCATCTCCCTGAACCACGCCCACATTGGCCTGAGCCACGCCCACCCCTAGGGCCGGGGGTGGGATAGTCGGGGCTGGGCGGAACCAAGAGGCGGAACCCCAGACCCGGAAGAGGCACGGGGTCCACGGCCGCTTCCGGCTTCCGGCGGAGGCGTGACGTCACGACGTTCACGTGACCCGGGCGTCACGTGGCGGCGGGGCTGGGCGGCTCCGAGGCCGCATCTGTCCTCCGAGCGGGAGACCCTGGACTCCCTGCGCGATTCCCGGGCGATTCCCGGGCAGCGAGGGGAGGGCCGGGGCGGGCGGCGGCGTCTGGAGCCGGGGGCGCCCCCAGTGCAGCCCGAGCGAGGGGGCGTTGCGCTCCCGCCCTGCGGTCCGGCCCTGGGAGGGAAACGGGGCGACTCGAGTCCGTCTGGCAGGCCGAGCGCAGCCCCGCGTCCAGGCCCTCCCCGCTGTCCCGCGACAGGACAGGGGCCTGCCCGGCCCTGTGTGGCGACAGGACTCGGGGTTCACCTTCCACGCGAGTCATTGCAGGTCTGGGAGTGGCCTCTCTGCTCCTTCTGTTCCCAGTCAGCAGTGCGGAAGCATTGAGGAAGCTGCTTGGTCACCCCGCCTGAGGGTCGGGGCTGTCTCGGTCACACCCAGGGTCGCTCCTGGCCCTGTGCGGGCGGGGTGGGGCCACCCCAACAGACAGACCCGAGACAGCTCGGAACCAAGGGCCCCACATCCCCCCTTTGACGCTGCATTCACGCCTTCTCTCCCGCACTGAACCACGGTGGCCCCCGAGCCGGCATCCCGGCGGGGGTAGCCACGGCTCTGCTCACCTGAGCTGCTCGCAGGGGCCCTCACTCCGGGTAGTCTGCTCGAGGGACCCCAGAACATGGGCACCCTGGCGTGTGTCATGTGAGCAGTCAGATTGGGTTCGGCCGCTGAGGGCGTCACCCAGCCCGATGGAGTTTGCCAAGGGCCCCGGAGCCCTCACCAAGCCTCTCTGAGGCTTCCTTGTGTGAATATGAGGGGCCTTCCAGCCCTCACAGGACGGAGTCTGCTGCTCGGGTCCGACCCCCCCCCCCCACACACACACACGGAGCCCCCCCGCAGTCAGCTTCATGGAGTAGAGGATGCCAGGGGTCGGGATCTGTGTGCAGGGACGGGCTCGTCCGTCTGTCTGTTCACTGTCCCTCTACGTGACAGTCGGCAGCTGAGAGGAAATGCCTGGCGTGACCAGACCTGCGGGGGCTCCCTCAGGGGCTTTGCAGACTCTGGCCCTCAGCTTCCTGTGTTGACTCACGGTTCTGCTGAGCCATATGGTCCCCAAAGCACCACCAGAATAATTCCTGAGTGCAGAGCCGGGGTATCCCCTGAGCCTCGCCGGGTGGGAGTTGTTTGAGGTGTCTCTGTAGTAATAAACCATTTTTTAAAATGAATGTTTTGTTTGGGTGCTCGGGGCTGGGCAGGGCCGGGCAGGAACCGGCTTTGCTGTCCGCAGGCAGACACAGTTCCAGCTCTGAACAGTCTCCTGGGCCTCTGAGCAGTTTGAAAGATGCCCCCTAATGCTTTCCTTCCCCTGAATCTTCCTCTCTGCTCTGCTCCAATGAGGAATTTCTGGTCCTTTTCTGAGGACTCTTTGGACATCCCGACCAGGATGTTTTGGACTGAAGTGTCCCAGACTTGGAACCCCAGACTTGACAGAGACATCCTACGGGACCTTTGGCGATACTGTGCTCACTCTGGGCCAGGCTCTCTGGGAGGTCTCCCTCTGCACCCCGCCCCCAGTCTGCACCCCTCGTCCTCATGCCTTTGGGGTGCACGCCTGTTGGCCGCTTCCTTAGAAAGGGTCAAAGATTCCACGATGAGGGGCTGGAGCAATAGCACAGCGGGTGGGGCGTTTGCCTTGCATGTGGCCAACCCGGGTTCGATTCCCAGCATCCCATAGGGTCCCCCTAGCACCACTAGGAGTAGTCCCTGAGTGCATGAGCCAAGAGTAACCCCTGTGCATTGCCGGGTGTGACCCAAAAAGGAAAAAAATAAAGAGAGTCCCGCGATGGGCACCAGCAGTGCCGCCACATCAGGTGGAGTGCAGGAGAAGCGCGTTGCGTGGTTTCCCTCCTCTGCTCTCTGCACTTGCTGGATGAAGGGATTGAGGCGCAGGAGTGATCTTGAGGCCCCGCTGGGGACCGTGTGTGCTCTGTCAGCCCTGCTGAACCGCCCGGCTGGGGGCGCGTACGTGCTCTTCCCTCTTTCTGGGCCAAAGATGTTTCTTTTTGTCTGTGTGTTAAATGGACCTTGTGGCTCTTCTCCGAGACCGTGTCCTCCTGTCCCCTGTGACACTCGCTGCTGTATGTGGGAGAGGCTGCCTGCCCTTCTGCAAGCCCAGAGTATTCTGCCGTGTGGTCACGTGGGCATGCAGAGGCCAGCCATTCCTCGCCCGCCCAGCGATGCTCGGCCCCAGTACAGGCGCTGTCTTGGGGCCTCGGTGCTGACTCGCAGAGCCTGTGCCCACGCGCCCGGCCCTCTCCCACAGGAGTGCTACCTGGACAGCGACCAGACGAGCCTGTACCACGCGGCCAAGTACCTGATGACGCTGCAGGCCCTGTACGGGACCATCCCCCAGATCTTCGGGAAGGGCGAGTGCGCCAGGGTGTGCCGGACCGGGGAGGGGGGCCTCTCTCCTGCGGGTGGAGATTGGGGCTCCACCTCGCAGTGCTCTTGGCTCTGTGCTAGGGCCAGCAAACTGAGGCTGTCTGCGTGCAAGGCGTGACCCCTGGTCCCTTTGCTGTCTCCCAGCCCTCTTTCCTTTTCTCTTTTCTGTTCTTTATCTTTTCTTTTCCATCCCTACTCTCCCTCCCTCTCTCGCACTCTCCCTCCTCCCACCCTCTCCATACCCAGCAGTGCTCGGGGCTCACTCCTGGCAGGGTTTGAGGGATCGTATGCTGTGCCAGAAATTGAACCTGGGTCAGCCACCTGCAAGGCAAGTATCCTACCCACCATACTGTCTCAGGCCTATCTTGTTTTATTTTATTGTTCGATTTTTTCCGTCTTATTTTTAAATTTTGGATTGCCGGGCTCTTTTTAGCTTCATTTAAAAATCTGCCCATTGCTAAAAAGGCTCTGCCTGGTTCTGTACTTTGTTTCCAGCAAGTGGCCAATATGATGATCAGGATGAAGAGAGAGTTTACAGGAAGCCAGAATTCAGTATTTCCTGTTTTTGATAACCTCTTGTTGCTTGATCGAAATGTGGATTTATTAACGCCCCTTGCGACTCAGCTGACATACGAGGGACTCATCGATGAAATTTATGGCATCCAGAACAGTAAGTGAAGTGACATCAGTTACTAATAGGTTAGCTGAGTAAAATCAATCTCAAAAGTTTTCGAAGGTGCGGCCTTTGTGTGTAAGTCAGAATACTTGAAAATGTCAGGCACTGACTTTCAGCCCAAGGTTAAAGCGAGCTCGAGCCAGGACACCATCGGGGAAACCGAGGCGAAGGCCTTGTGCAGAGGGCCATGCGGTGTGCAGCCCCGCTGCTCGGGGCCGCCCAGGAAGGCGTGAGGAATAGGGTGTTTCTGAGGGGTGCCTGGGTCCAAGGTCAGGGGGGTTTGGCCCCGGATGTTAGATTCTGTAGCACTTCAGATCTGAGTGGGGGCCAGGAAAGCTCACGGGGCTAGTGCCAGGCACACAGCCAGCGCTCAGTTCCATCCACACTCCTGCCTCGTCCAGTGAGCACTGAGCCGGGAGTAGCTCCTGCTGGGATACAGTCTGAGAAGTTTCCCACAGTCTGATTTGTGTCTTTTCTTCAGAACAGGGAGCCCTAGGCCTCAAGAGGGGTAATTCCGGCGCCTTCAGGAGTGGCCCTGGTTGTGGGCTGGGGAAACAGCCCTGGGGATGGAGCCCCGGTCTGGAAGGACGGGGATGCAGCTAACTGCATGGGGTCTCTCTGGGGACACAGAGCTCTGCAGCCGCTGAGTACTGGTCGAGTCCGGACAGTGCTGTCTGTCCAGTGTGCCAAGCTTGTTACTGCAGAGTGGATTGCGATGGCTTGTGTGTGTGTGTGTGTGTGTGTGTGTGTGTTTCTGCAGTGGTGAATGTGTGGCTCAGTGATGGCGGCCACGGAAGCAGAGCAGGACCACATGTGGAGGCATTTCCACACAACAACCCGTTTTCCTGCTCTTTAATGATTATGAAGGTGTTTCCGGTTTGTTTTTTACCAGTTGTTCTGAAGGATAACCTCTTAAGTTGTTTCCTTTTGTGGGGACAGTCGTAAGCAGTGCCCAAGGGGCCGTGGGGCTGATCTCGGTGATTTTCTGCTCTGTGGGGCCAGTCTGTGGCCCTGGAGCCACCAGGGCTGTGCCTGGCAGTGGCTGGGGGTGATGCCCCACACACAGCCCCTCCCCAGACTCCTGCTCCGAGCTGTCACTGGCACGGGAGCACCCCGGCGAGGGGTCCCCATCTCCTGGTGCTTCTGCAAGTCTCGGGGGATCTGGCAGAGGTGCTGGGGTTGGGGGTGCGGAGGTGTGAGAGATGGGGCTCGAGGGGTGCCTCCGGGAGGAAGGAGTTTCGGGAACTCACAGTCTCTTCACATCACACACTTCCTGCTGCTCAAACATTTAATTAAGGGAGAGGGCTGGAGTGATAGCACAGCGGGTAGGGCGTTTGCCTTGCACGCGGCTCAGCCCGGGTTCGATTCCCAGCATCCCATATGGTCCCCTGAGCACCGCCAGGAGTAATTCCTGAGTGCAGAGCCAGGAGTAATTCCAGTGCATCGCTGGGTGTAACCCCCCCCAAAAGAAACCGTTAAGAGAAATCTGAAAAACAAGGGGAAATTGGGCTTCCCCATAACCCCCCAGCTCTGCGCCCGTGGCAGGCCCGTGCAGGAGCTGCGTGCAGGCTGCCTGGGCCAGCGGCTGCCCCTCTACTTTGAGCTGGAATGCGAGGTCTTGCCGACCTCGTGTATCTCAGCATGTGCTCAGGCCCCGGGTCCCGCGGCCACCATGGCGTGCTGTCTCCAGACACTGGCGCCCGGGCTGTTCGGAGCAGCTTAGGATTTGGAAAGCACCGAGAAGTATTTTCCTTCCGTCGGTCCCTTTCTCTCCCCACATTCTCCGATGCAGGAGTTCTTGTTGCTTTATGATTCTCAGCTCCACCCCACAGTGCTCAGGGCCCACACGGGGCAGTGCTCAGAGGAACAGACAGCTGGACTTGAGCGTGTGCTGCCCCCGATGACCCGTCTCTCTGGACCCACAGCAGTGGAGCTGATTGTGTGTAGACACGTCGGGATTTGTGTTGAAACCGGAGATGTTTTTTTGAAAGGAACCAATTTGGAGCTAGAGGCAGAGCAGCAGTTAGGGTGAGTTTGGTCCCCAGGACCACATATGGTTCCCCCAGTCACTGCCAAGAATAAGCCCAGAGCACAGAGCCAGGAATAAGCCTTGAGCACTGACAGGTGTGGCCCAAAAATCAGAGAAAGGAAAAAGAAAGGAAAGAAGCCGTCGGAGCTGTCTCCCGCCCTCATGCACACTTCCATGCTGAGGTGATTCCTGGGATCTTCTTTTTCTTTTTCTTTTTCTTTTTCGAAGAGTATCTTGCCCGCACGGCAAAGCCTGGCAAGCTACCCGTGACGTGTTCGATATGCCAAACACAGTAACAAGTCTCAAAATGGAGACGTTACTGGGCCTGCTTGAGCAAAATCGATGAACAATGGAAGGACAGTGACAGGGGTCACACTCGGCAATGCACAGGGTTTACTCCTGGCGCTGCTCTCAGGAGTTACTCCTGGCGGTGCTCAGGGGGCCATATGGGATGCTGGGAATCGAACCAGGGTCTGCCCGGTGCAAGGCAAACACCCTCCCTGCTGTGCTATCACTCCAGCCCCATCCTGGGCTCCTCTTGGCTTGTTGAGATGTCGGTGTAGACTGCATGCACATGCACACGCCAGCAGGACAAACAGTGGGCCGCCCTGGGGCATGTTTCCTCGGGTGGCCCCATCCTGAGTTCGGTTTGGGCTGGCAGTGGCAGGAGGCGGCCCACGGGCCAGGCCAGGGAAGCCGTGCGTGAAAAGTGTGAGCGTCCTCCGCTCGTGCACAGCTAGTGACTCAAAGCCCAGTGCTCTCCCCTGACAGGAAGTCTCTGGAGTCTCACTTGGGGTGTCCCCTCCTGTGCAGGTCATGTAAAGTTGCCGCCCGAGAAATTCGCCCCGAAGAGGCAGGGTGACGGGCAGGACCTGCCCACAGAGGCCAAGAAGCTGCCGCTGAACTCAGCTGAGGAGCTCTACGTCGAGATCCGAGACTGCAACTTCAACGCCGTGGGCGCCGTGCTCAGCAAGAAGGCCAAGGTCATCTCGGCCGCCTTTGAGGTGACTGGGGCCTGGGGCCAGGCGGCAGGCGGGCTGCGGGCGCCTGGGGAAAGGTGGTGCCAGGCCCTCTCCTGGTGTCAGGTCTTTTGCCAGTCACCGTCCGCACTCCCTGTCCCTCTCTCCTTCCTCCCAGCCGCTGGCAGTAGCGGCATCTCCGCTAGCTCCTGCATCTAGGGAATCCGGGATCAGCCCGAGCAGGCTGGGACGGCGGGTGATACTGAGAGCACAGTCCCCGGCCCCCAGCTTCCTTAGCACCTCGCGCCCTCCTGCTGCTCTTTATTCTGGGTTCAGCTCACTTTTGAAACCTGAATCAGTAAAATGATAGAAGCTGAATTTTTTAACTCTGGGGAAGTTTTTAAAAATCACTTTTTCCCTTGAAAGATGGATTTCCTGATTTCATCTTTTTTAGGAGTTATCTCCACTATATCAGTATTTGTATTTCTTTGGATTTTGTTTTTGAGGGGAGGCACACCCAGAGGTGCTCAGGGCTAAATCCTGGCTCTGCGCTCAGGGATCACTTCTGGTGGGCTGAGGCAACCACATGGGATGCTGGGGATCGAACCCAGGCTGGCCGCATGCAAGGCGAGCACCTCGCCACTGTTCTGTCACTCTGACCCCATGGTTGTTGTATTTCTGAAGCTGCTTTTGTCTCACTTGGGTTTTGTTCCTCAATTTTCTATCTCCTCACCGTGACTTATAAAGCTATGGATAAGAAGTGTCGGGCATTCACTGTGCCAGCTCCGAGCTCGCCGTGGTGTCCAGTTCCCTCCTTTCCCGCTGCCAGTGCTGGCAGGCCTCGGGGTTCTGTGGGGAGGCCGGGCACTGAGCAAGCGCCTCCCCCACTGTATAGCTTGGACCCAGGAAACGTTTTACACTTGATTTGCTGTTGTTGAGGTCTCAGGCTATACGAGCGTTAGCTTTTGTGGCTTCAAGGCAGTTTGCTGAGCTCCACATCCCTGGCAGGGACCATGCAGTGTCAGGTGTGGCCTGCGTGGGCCCTGGGCTCCCTCCCTGTCCACATGGTCTCCCAGTGCTGCAGGAAGTGGCTGTCGGAGTCCCTGGACCCACCAACCTGCCTTTTCTATTTTCCTGTGGCTGTGGGATCTGGTTATAGCCTAATTCGTTTTGTGTCCGTTTCTCACACTAAAAATTAATTTGGGGGAGCCGGAGGGATAGCACAACGGGCCAGGCGCTTACCTTGCATGCAGCTGACCTGGGTTCACTCCCCAGCATTCCATGTGGTCCCGGTGCAGGCCAGGAGTGATCCTTGAGTTCCAGGCCAGGAGGAAGCCCGGGGCACTGCCTTGCACGTGATTCAAACGTGCCCTGGGCAACCCAAAGACCTAAACTCTTAGAAATGCACTCTTGGCAGCCAGGACTGGGGCTGAGGCACAGTGTGTGTGTGTGTGTGTGTGTGTGTGTGTGTGTGTGTGGCCTTGGGTACCTTCCCAGCACTGCTGTGGCTGTGACTGGGGCACGCCCTGTGTGTGTGTGTGTGTGTGTGTGTGTGTGGCCCTGAGTGCTGTCCCCAGTTCTGTCGTGACCTTCTCCCCTCCCTCAGGAAAGGCACAACGCCAAGACGGTGGGCGAGATCAAGCAGTTCGTCTCCCAGCTACCCCACATGCAGGCGGCGCGGGGCTCCTTGGCCAACCACACCTCCATCGCCGAGCTCATCCAGGACGTGACGAGTGAGTGCCCTGTCCCGGGCTCAGGCTCAGGGTGTGTCACTGGCTCCCTGCTGCTTCTGGGGGCCCCGGCTACTGTTTCACTTGTGCATTGTTCCCTGTGCTAGCCGCTGTGTCCTCGCAGAAATGTTCCGAGTGTGACTGTTGGGTTCTGCGGGGTCAGGTGGTGCAGCAGGGCTCTCCCAGGCTCCGGGTGGCGCCAGCACTGCTTCGCCAGACCTGGCACTGATTGCTGAGGTTGGTTTCAGTCAGATGTTGCAAGGAGCTGGAGTTGCAGCGGTACTGCAGTGCCTGGCACACAGCCGGCCCGGGTTGGATCCCGGAGTCCCATATGGTCTCTGAAGCCTGCCAGGAGTGATCCCTGAGCACCACCGGGGGTGGCCCCCAAACGAACCAAAGTAAAATGCCCTTGGGAAATTGCTTTAATTATGTGAAGGGGGAGCTGCTAGGGCCCAGGCCCCGGGGCTCTGTGTCTAGGCGCACCTCGGGGCACAGGCCGTCAGCCTCACTGTTCTGGAAGGTGCCTTCCCGGTGATGACTTAAACTTGGTGCTTGCTTGCTACTTTGCATGCCTCCGGGAGAAATGAGCATTTCTCCCACTTCTGAGATGCTCGTGTGTGAATTATGTTTCAGCGTCTGAAGACTTCTTTGATAAGTTAACCGTGGAGCAGGAGTTTATGTCCAGAATAGACACCGATAAGGTACGTGAACACTAAAACCGTTTTAGCCGATAGTTAACCAGATTGGCAAACAGAACTCGAGGTAGGAAAGGAATCGCTTTGATTCCCGTGTCTGGCCTAAATACCTGCCAGGGCAGTGCAAAATGTGCGGAAAGAGAGTCTGCCAAGGGATAGGTTTCTGTTGACCGGGGGTGGTGTGTGTGTGTTCGTGCATGTGTGTGTGTGTGTGTGTTCCATTGCGTGTGTGTGTGCATGTGTTCCATTGCTGTTCGCTGTCCTCAGAGAAACAAGACCCAGCCCTGAAGCCCAAGACTATTGAAGCCCATCACGGATAATATAAGAGCGTGGGTTATATGATCCCTTTTCCTGTCTGCCCGTCAATAAATCCCGCATTCTCACTTGCAGCAAGCAAGCACCCAAATTCCCCACAGTCCCTGCTACTTTACTGATGCTGCTGAGGTGTCGCTGACAAGTGGGACAGTTGCACCCGCCCGCAGCCCCTGGAGCTTAGGTTGTCCAGGGAGTGTGGGCAGGAGCGTGAGCCAGTCTCCAGCCTCTCCTTGATCGGGCCTCTGAGGGGCCCAGGAACTCCCAGGCCTGCAGGCCCAGACCCAGCTCTCACGCATGAATCTGCCACGACTCTAGGTCAACAGTTACATGGAGGACTGCATCGCCCAGAAGCATCCGTTCATCAAGGTGCTCAGGCTCATTTGCCTGCAGTCGGTGTGCAACAGTGGGGTCAAGCAGAAGGTTCTGGATTATTACAAAAGAGAAATTCTCCAGGTCAGTGTTTCTAAGTGACTCATTTGCCAAGGGAGAAACTTTTTAAAAAGGCAGTTGGCCTTGCACGTGGCCCACCTAGGCTCGATCCCCAGCACCCATATGGGTCCCCTGGGCCCCACCAGCACTGACCCTGAGCACAGGAAGTGGGGGGGCAAAAGCAAACAAAACAAAGGAGACATCTGGAAAATAGCACGGCAGGAGGTGTGGTTGGCCTCCTTTTCCTACTCAGTCATTTGAGTACACTGTCATCTATCTTCCTTACGTTGGGCCCATGCATTCTGATTTAAAGTGAAAATGTGGGGTCCAAAGAGCTCGAAAGGGGCTGCAGCAATAGCACAGCGGGTAGGGCGTTTGCCTTGCACGCAGCCGACCCTGGTTCGATTCCCAGCATCCCATATGGTTTCCCGAGCACCTCCAGGAGTGATTCCTGAGTGCAAAGCCAGGAGTAACCCCTGAGCATCGCCGGGTATGACCCGAAAAGAAAAAAAAACAAAAACAAACCAAGAGCTAGAAAGGGGTAAGGCACTCATCTTGCATGCTGCCAGGTATGACTCAAAACAGTAGTATCAAAATGAGAGTGAAAATGTTCGCTCCCTCTTCGGAAGTGGGAGATCTAGCAGGCTCCCCAACTTCTCTTGCAGACATACGGCTACGAGCACATCCTGACGTTACAGAACCTGGAGAAGGCCGGGCTGCTGCGGCCCCAGCAGGGGGGCAGGAACAGCTACCCCACCATCTGGAAGACCCTGCGCCTCTGGATGGACGATGTGAATGAGCAGGTGAGCCGAGTCTTCGTGCACACGCAGTCACATGCACGCCATCTAATAGGCGAGCCGAGCCTTCACGCACATGCATGCGCGCCAACACACACACAGACACGTACATAGACACACACACACATTTCCCCAGTGGTGTGGCATCTTGCTGGTGGGAAGGCGCTGCCCTTGCAGAAGCCAGGACTGAGTGGGGCTTGTTGGGGGACACTTTTTGAAGATGGGGGCTGGGGGTGGGAAGCGGGGGCCCTTGTCCACTTAGGCCTCAGGGCGGGGGAGGCTGGTCTGGGCTCAAGGAAGCCTCTGGTCAGCGAAAAGGCCAGCCTCAAGTAAGAGGATTGGGGACCAACACAACTGACTCACCGTGGGCAGTTGGGGCTGCTGCACTCAGAGTCACTGTGAGAGAGGGGGGTTTCAGACTGGGGGTAACTGTGATGCTAGGGTCTGTCACTCTCACCCTTGGGAGATTTGGGCATGGCTGTGCCCTGGGGCCTCGGCCCCTGGAAGAATGCCTGAGAGTAGCTTGGCTGGGCTTAGAGCTCTCCACATTCCCTCCCCCCAGTGGGCCAAGTTTCCATAGGAGAAGTTTCTCACCAAATCGATGAACAATTTTTCTTCTGTGGGGGTCGGATGGAATCTTTCCCGGGCAGACCGTTGAATGTTCAGACCCAGCGGTGCTGGGGTTTGGCCACGCCCCTGCCCTCTGCATGGGCTGCCGGGCACTGTTACCTTCCAGCACACAGGGGCACCAAGCAGCTTTCTGAGATTGGTTTGCGACAGAAGGACTCAGGGCCAGGAGAGGTGAGGGCAGAGCCATGCGTCAGCTCTGCACCACCAGGTCTGATGCATAAAGCTGTAGGGGTGGGGGGGGGGGGGAGAGAGAGAAGGAGAGAAGAGAGAGATTGGGAATTGGGTAGAGGGTGGAGATGGCAGGGCTCAGCGGGGTAGGCTGGAGCACACTGTGTTCCTCCCCAAAGTCAAATCCAGGATGGCAGCGTGGAGGACATTTGCCTTTAATGCGGCCAACCCAGGTTGTGATCCCTGAGTGCAGCACCAGGAGGGAGCCCTGAGCACCGCAGGGTATGGCCTCCACCAAAAAAAAAAAAAAAGATCCCATGGCCCATTAGGCAGAGAGGAGTTGCTTGACTCCAGGTGTCCCTCTCGAATCCTCCGCAGAACCCCACGGACATCTCGGCTATGCCCCCCTCAGCATGCGGCTGGCCCAGCTGCTCTCCCGGCCTGGTTGGCGCAGAATCGAGGAAGTTCTGCGCATTCTCCCGGGCCTCCACTTCGAGGAGCGCAGCCGCTGCCCACGGGCCTGCAGAAGAAACAGGTTTGTGAGGGATTTTGTTTTCGTGACCCGCCTTTCCCCTTGATTGAGTCTTGGCAAGACCTGAAGCCTCTAATCTTACATTCTCATTTTCTAGAAATACAATTGCCTACATTTTTCATTCAAACTCTTGAGGTTCTGCTGTGTGATCTCAGGGCTGAGTGCAGGGTGTGGGAAATTCTGTTTCTCCCACACGCCCGTCCCAGCCTGTTTCCTACTGGTTATTTTCAGCACATATTTATTGGTTTGCTTTGCTTTGGTTTTTGCTTGGGGCCTCACCTGGTGATGCTCAGGGATTACTCTTGGGGGTCCTCAGGGGTCCATATTTGACTCTTTGATGCCAGGGAAGCACCTTTGCACTGAACTGTCTATCTGGCGCCCCGGAGTTTTTCTTTTTTAAATGTTGTCTTTTTCTGAAAGGTGGTTTTTTGTTTGCAAATATGATTTTATATGTTTTCTTTACTATCTTTATGTCAGGGAGCACTTCTGAAATATTTCTCTTTCAAAGTGTCAGCTTGGCTCTTAGGGGCGCCCGGGCCAGAACTCTGGCTCTTTCTTCTGTGCGGTGAGGTTTCTCCATGCTTAGTCCCTTAAGACAATCTCTGGACCCAAAAGCATTGATTTATGTGAGTTTTCAACCAGATGCTTTTCCTATGACGTACTTTTCACTGGAAATAGGGAAAAGTGGGCATGGCTGGAGCTCTGGCAGGCCGAGTGGAAACCTCCCCCCCCAAAGTGGGTAACCACCACCTAGACTGTGCGACCCTCAGCCTCAGCGAGAAAGGGAGGGAAAGGGAAAATAAGTACCGGAATGAAGGGGAAGATGCAAGTGGGAAACACATCAGCTTGATAATGTCCTCTAAAAACGGCGTACCAGGGCCAGAGAGATAGTAAGGTGGGTAGGGCACTTGCCTTGCCCCTGGCAGACCCGGGTTCGTTCCCTGGCACCCCATATGGTCCTCCAAGCCCCGCCTGGTGTGACCCCCAGTGCCAAGCCAGGGAGTCAGCTTGAACCCGTGCATGGCCCCAGTGTTCCTGGTGCCTGTCTGCGCCCTCTGCGCCCTCTGCCATTGGAAGCTTGTGCAGGTGTGTTTGAGACGCGATCGCATTTCCCTGCGTTCTTGGGCGTGTGAGTTGATTTGTGGTACTGGTACTGCTGGTCTCAAGACTTGACCTTTCGAGAACGCAGGTGCATCACCAGATTTCCAGGCCCCCATTCCCTCAGCATGTTGGTCTCAGCAGCACCTTAAGAGAAAGAACCTGGGGCTCGCTTGGTTTCTGGGCTGCTGTCACCCAGCTCCCCGTGGGTTTGCTCACGTCTCTGGGCTTCGGCCTGTGGAATCCAGAACTTTCCTGGGCTCCCCCGATGGTCTCTCCCCACCCCAGTCTTGGAGCAGGGAAGGGCTTGCATGCCATTGTGTGGTGACAGGACAAGGGCCTGCCCGACCCTGTGTGGTGACAGGACTTGGGGTTCACCTTCCACGCGAGTCATTGCATGTCTGGGAGAGGCCTCTCTGCTCCTTCTGTTCCCAGTCAGCAGTGCGGAAGCTTTGAGGAAGCGGCTTGGTCACCCCAGCTGAGGGTAGGGGCTGTCTCGGTCACACCCAGGGTCGTTCCTGGCCCTGTGCGGGCGGGGTGGGGCCATCCCAACAGGCAGACCCAACACAGGTCGGAACCAAGGGCCCCACATCCCCCCGTGGATGCTGCATTCACGTCTTCTCCCCGCCCTGAGCCACGATGGCCCCCAAGTCAGCATCCCGGCAGGGGTAGCCACGGCTCTGCTCACCTGAGCTGCTCGCAGTGGCCCTCACTCCGGGTATTCTGCTCGAGGGACCCCAGAACTTGGGCACCCTGGCGTGTGCCATGTGAGCAGTTAGATTGGGCTCAAGGCGCTGGGGGGCTCCCAAAGCACCACCAGAATAATTCCTGAGTGCAGAGCCTATCCCTGGAGCCTCGCCGGGTGGGAGTTGTTAGAGGTGTCTCTGTAGTAATACGCCGTTTTTAAGCATGAATGTTTTGTTTGGGTGCTCGGGGCTGGGCAGGGCCGGGCAGGAGCCGGCTTAGCTGTCCCAGGCAGACACAGTTCCCGCTCTGAACCGTCACCTGGGCCCCTGAGCAGTTCGAAAGAGGCCCCCTAATGCTTTCCTTCCCCTGCATCATCCTCTGTGGTCCGCTCCAATGCAGAGTTTCCGGTTCTTTTCTGAGGACTCTTTGGACATCCTGACCAGGGTGGCTTAGACTCAAGTGTGAGGCTGCACCCCAGACCTGGCGGAGCCATCCTACGGGGTCTTTGGGGATGTTATGCTCACTCCGGGCCAGGCTCTCTGGGAGGTCTCCCTCTGCACCCCGCCCCCAGTCTGCACACCTCCACGGTGTTATCTTTTTATTGTTAATTTTTGCACCCGGAGAGGCACGGGGGTTACTCCTGGCTGTGCAGTCAGGATTTACTCCTGGCGGTGCTCAGGGGACCATATGGGATGCCAGGATTTGAACCCAGGTTGGCTGCATGCAAGGCAAATGCCCTCCCCGCTGTACTATCGTTCCAGCCCCGACACTAGAAGCTTCGACCTGGGGATCCTTGTTCCTTCAGGTCTTTTGCATGGAAGGGCGGGTGTGAGTCAGTACTGAGCGGCTGTGAGCGTTGGGGGGATTCCATGTCATGTGGGGTGTCCGTGAGTTTTCCGAGGCATGTGGGGTGTCCCCTGGCGGGTTCTGCAGGGTAGCTGGGGCAGGGACCCGGGTTAGGCCAGAGACCGGCCTCACCTCCTGTCACCTTCTCTCAGTCCTGTTTGCCGGCTTGCTCTTCTCTTCGAGCTCTTGCTAACTCTGATTTTCCCCCCAGACACATAAAAATTTCCTCTATCTGGATATTTTGAAGTTGAATGCCAGCATGAGACGGGTGACAGGGCTCGCTGATGACAGTGAATAGATGCCGTTTGCATATGTCCTGTGCCTTCAGGTTGTATATAGTCTTGAACTGTGTCTGCAGCTCCTGAAATTTTGTTTAGAACGGAAGACTGATTTTTATGTAACTTCCTGATAGAATGTCGTGCGGCGCTGCCCAAGGGGTAAGGGGTCCTCGGAGTCCTGAGAGGGGAAAATGACCCAAATTGAGGTGCTTCCTGTGTGCCAGTGTCCCATCACGCCACACCTCCCAGGACTGGTGTTTCCCTGTCCAGAAGACGCTCGACAGACGTGAGCCAAAGCTCTAGCAGGGAGGAAGCATTTGTGCTGCGGGATGAAACAGAACTGCCTTCGGAAACCCCAGCTTTGAGTCAAGCTGACATTTTCAAGAAATACAAAACAGACTTTTTTTCCCCCATTTTTAGTACCAGAGCAGATAATCCCCTAAGGTTATTTGCTTTCCTGAGAGATATTTAGCTTACCCTTTCAAGGTTCATTTAGAGCAGATCTTGGCGGTAGATCAGAGTTGGGTGCGAACCGAGTTCAGAGTGGTTGCTTATTTGTGGCCTTCTTTGTCTGTTAAGAGGAGCCGTACTTACAGGCCTCCAGAGAAAACAAAACACAAGCACCCGCTTCCTCCAGGCTTGGTTCCTCTGTTCTCAACCCCTGGCCACTTGTCTATGCATCGTCCCCAGAGCAGGCGGGGGACAGAGGCAGAGAGGGTCTGAGCAGCCCCTGCATGTTGCTCCCTGAGCAGTGCTCCCCATCTTTGTGGCTTCTGTTGAGGTTCTGAAGTGAGTCATCAGGTTCTAGTGACAAATGTCTCATGTACAGCATGACACAAAGATGGAGTTTGTGCCATCAGTCCCCGGGGTGGGAGGAGGGAGCGTCGGGTTTTGGGGGTCAGTGGCAGGAGGATGTGACCCATAGCATGTCGGCTTTATCTCGGGTGGGGGAAAATGGATCGTTTGGGGAGGAGTGTGCTTGGGGTACAGATTTGCCGCGTTTTTCTGGATTTCTCCTTCTCTCTCTTTTTTTTTTTATTTAGGAGTACTGCTATTTATCCAGCCACTGATTAGCTGATTGAATTGTGCATGAACTCCACCTTACTTTTTTTTCATTTTTTATGATTTTATTTACTGAGTCACCGTGAGAGCAGTTGCAAAGCTTTCAGGTCTAAGTCTTGGTCATACAATGAAACACACATACCTTCACCAGTGCCCATTCTCCACCAACAACAACCCCAATATACCCCCATCCCACACCCTCCCCCTACGTGTGGGGCAGATGATTTCCAAATTATTCTCTCTCGACTTTGATCACATTCAATATTTTGACACCAGACCCACCATTATTGTTTGAGATTTTACCCCAACACTCCGATCTGCTGAAAAGGCAACAGTAGACAGTTTGTTTTCTATTGCTGGTTATGAATAACCTATGATGTTGTGTGGCTGCAGTAGTGGCCGCACGATTTTGAAATTCCAAATTTGAACACTTCAATCTGGAGGGATTTGTGCCCAAACCTGCTGGGTTCCGAGATTTGCTCCTGAGTCTCTGGCATCCTGGTCATTAAGCAGCTTGATCAGGAGTCAGAGAGGCCGTTCATGGACAATGACTTGGGGTCTCATTGGGACGGGGAGGACAGGACTGGCTCCACCCCCATCCTGTGTGGCCCAACAAGTTTTGTCACTGAGGGCCCAAGCCTAACTGTCCAGTGACCTCTGGAGGATGGCGGCCACCTGGCCGCCAGGGGGAACAGGCCAAGGCATGAAACCATGGGCCCAGCACTGCAGGGACCAGACGCCTTTCTGCCAAAAGCCACTGGGTTTCGAGATTTGTTTCTGAGTCTCTGGGATCATGGCCATCAAGCAGTTCAAGCAGGAACCAGAGAGGCCTCCAATGATACAGCTGAGCCGGAGGCGGCTTGTGGGTGTGTTTCCCACATACCTAACTTTTGGCCTTTTACTTTCTTGGTAAACGTTGCCCCAAGTTTTTGGGGTCTGGCCAAAGGCACAGCAGCAATTTTGGGGTATCTGGAGTCTGAAGGTGCCATCAGGCTGCTGATGCACTCGCCTCACAAGTAGTGTTTTTCGTTTGTTTGTTTGTTTGTTTGTTTGTTTTTAATGTAGGAGTACTGCTCTTTATTCAGCCACCGATTAGCTGATTGAATTGGGTTTGAACTCCACCTTACTTTTTTTGGTTTTTCATAATTTTATTTATTTATTTATTTTTTCTTCTTATGTTTATTTATTGAATCACCGTGGGAAAAAATTACAAAGCTTTCAGATTTAAGTCTCGGTCATGCAATGATCAAACTCCTTTCCCTTCACCCTTCACCAGTGCTCATTTTTCACCACCAAGAATCCCAATATACCCCAGCTCCCACCCACCCAATGCCTGTGAGGCAGATGAGTTCTACTTAACTCTCCTCTACATTGATTGCATTCATTATTTCGACAAAAGATGCACCATGATTGTTTAGAATTTACCCCCCAACAATCAGAATGGCTGAAAAGGCATTGTGAAATACATTGTTTTCTATATAAAGTTTGGAGTTCCGGGGCTGGAGACATAGCACAGCGGGTAGGGCGTGTGCCTTTCACGTGGCCAACCCGGGTTCGAGTCCCAGCATCCATATGGTCCCCTGAGCACTGCCAGGAGTAACTCCTGAGTGCAGAGCCAGGAGTAACTCCTGAGTGCAGAGCCAGGAGTAACCCTTTTGCATCGCCAGGTGTGACCCAAAAAGCCAAAAAAAAAAAGTTTGGTGTTCCTCCCCTCCAAACACAGGTGTGAGGTGCTGCGTTTCGCTGAGCAAGCAGAAGGAAAGCAGAGAGCTCGGGCCCAGTGGTTGATGCAGATTGCTGGGCCGGGCCGTCGAGCAAGGGAAATTTGGGGATCTCTGGGACCCGTCCTCGGGCCCAGTGCTCTCCGGGGCCCCTGGCTTGGTCGTGTCCTACGAGTTGGGGGCGAGCCTGGCCTTTGTGCTTGTGTTGCATTTGGACGGACAGGTGGGGTGTTCAGGGCCCAGCTGCTGACACCTGATCCCGCCCTGGCCAGGTGGGAGGACGGAGATTGGCAGCTGGCCCCGGAGATGCCCAAGGTAACCAGTCAAGGAGATAACCAGAGTCAGTCCCAGTCGAGTTGGGTGATAGGCTGAGATAACGCACCGAGCCACTGAGACAGATCCTGTCTGGGGACGCTCGGGCACCTTGATCCCAGGCCGGCCTGGCCTGGCAGGGGGTGGGGGCGAGTGGGCACCAACCTCGGCGTTTCCGTGGCTCGGAGCTTCCGGGCCCTTCCGCTTGCTCTGCTGTTGTTTTGTTTTTGGGTCACACCTGGACATGTTCCGGGGTCACTCCTGGCTCTGCACTCAGGACTTACTCCTGGAGGTGCTCTGGGGTCCCTATGGGATGCCGGGATTGAACCCGGGTCAGTTGTGTGCAAGGCAAACGCCCTCCCCACTGTACTAGAGTTCTGGCCCCATGGCCCAAAGCTTAAAGAAAAATCCTTGCTGGGGTTGCCCCGTCGCTGGCGCCCTGTCACCCTCGTTGGTCTGCACACGGCTTGTGCGACTGCCTCGAGTGGCCAGTGACAAGGGGCGCCCTCCTGGCCTCCTGCTCCCCAGGGCTGCTCTCTGCCCAGTGCTCCCGGGCCTGCAGCCCTCAACTCCTGCCCTGTGTTCACTCCTCCTTTCTGTGGTGTCCCCCTCCTCTCTCGGTGGCCCTCCCCCTGGGGTCACCCCCCTTCCTGCGTGGTGCTGGGACAGCAGAGCTGCCTGGTTTGTGCCGACTTTGTGCCAGGTGCACGTGTGACCCCGGGGACTTGGACTCAGGACCTCATGCTTGTGAGGCAGTGCTCAAAACCCCCTCTCGGACATTCCTCCCCTCCAAGCTGAAGGAACGGACTTGACCCACGTTCAGGCTCACACCTCTGCTTCCTGCCGAATCACTGCCGGCCAGGAGCAGGCCAGGACCCGTGTGCCATGCCTGTGTGAAGCAGGGACGTTCTAGGGCGTGAGCCTGCTAGCGTCTTTGTCATGGACACACGTGGTCCCATCACAGGATTTAGGGTCACGGTCCAAACACAGGAGCATGGGGGTGAGGGGGTCGGGGCTTGTTCAGGCCGGAGACTCTACTGGGCTCACACACGGCACCGAGTGCTCAAGTCTCAGGGAGACAGTGAGGCTCAAACACATTTTCTTTCGCGCTGTTTTTTTCTTTTTTTTGGCTTTTTGGGTCGCACTCAGTGATGCTCAGGAATTACTCCTGGCAGTGCTCAGGACTGGTGATCGAATCTTGGTCAGCCGAGAGCAAGGCAAACCCCTCCCCACTGTGCTCTCACTTCAGCCCCTCCTTTCGCATCTTTTTGTGTCTTTTCAGAATTGATTGACTTCCTCGTAGCGTTTGCTGGCCCTGACGTTCTCTGTAGAGTCCCTTGTTGCACACTGTGTTTCGTGGGCACGTTGGCATCAAGACTTGGCGCTTGCCTGGTGCATGGCTCACCCCATAGGTCCCCTGAGCACCGCCAGGAGTGACTCCCGAGTGCAGACCCAGGAGTAACCCTGAGCACTGCCGGGTGTCCCAGAAAACAAAAGGAAAGAAAGAAAATAGGTATCCTTGACAGGAAGGGTAGCCCAGGGCCAAGGAGCCTGCCTTGCCTGCGGCTGACCCCACCCCACGCTGTACGTAACCCCCCCTCCCCCACCCAGGTCCTGCCAGCATGAGCCCCGATGACTGGATCAGAGTCGGCCCTGAGCACCGCCAGGTGTCCCGTCCAGGGGTCCTGTCCTGAGCCCCCAGGTTAGGTCACTCCGCCCTCCCCACCGCCCCACCACTCCCCCGTTCCTGCTCACTCATCCTCGAGGGGACCCGCACTCATTCAGCTTGTGCTCCCATCCGAGCAGGCCAGGCCATACTCCTCTGCACAGCTCTCAGGCCTTAGTGGGCTGGGCCACTCCCTGGCCACGGTGCGGCAGGTGTTGCTCACAGCACTGGGGTCACAGAGAGCAGGGCTGTCAGGGTCGGGCTCAGGGCCTCTGCCCTGTCGCTCTGCCCCTCGCACCCCCCCCCCCCCGCCCACAGACTTTGTGGCCCGGCTCCTGAGGAGGGCCCTGGGCACGGTCACTGGGTCCAGGTCCCACTCGGGGGATGCCGAATGACCTCAGCTGGAGATCTGTAACTGCCAAACATTTGTCAAACGTTTTCTGAAACCACTTTCTCAGGGCCCAGGGGTCCAGAACTGGGCCCCGCAGGGACCAGAGGCACATTGGCCAGCTAGTGCTGGCGTCTGCAGGGCAGCCCTCCGGAGCCTCAGTCGGACCCTGGCGTCACGAAGGGTGGCGCCTGCCCCTTTAAGAAGGGCCCATGATGCCCTCCTCCTTGCGGAATTCTCATTCTACCTTGGAACATTCTAGACTCCAAGTGCCATTTTCAGTCTCTGTAGGAGACTGGCACGAGCCTGTTTGGCAGAGCTCAGTTCTGTAAGCTGCGAGTGCAGTGTGACACAGGTGAATCTGAGTCTCTGGGCTTTTTGCCCGCGTGTGGGCGGCTTTTCTCTCTAACAGTTCTTTAGTGTATGATAGTTTTTAATCTGTAGTTCGTTTAAGTTTTTTTAGTAGTTATATATATATTTTTTGGGTGGGGTGGGGGTGGGGTGGGGTGGGGTGGCCATACCTGGCTGTGCCCAGGGGTCACCCTGGCCGGCTAACGTCCCTGTGCTGACGGAGATCGAGCCCAGGACAACTAACTGGATAGAAGGCAAGTGCCCTCCCCACTGTCCTGCCTTTCTGTCCACTGCGGAATTTTCTATTAAATATGGAATGACTCTGAAGTCAGTGGGCCCTCATGGGGGGCTGATGAGAAACAGAGGAGAAGATGTCACTCCCCTGGGACTGGCTGGAGCGCTGGCACTGATGAGCGCGACGAGCCCTACCAGCCACACGACGCCCACTAGGCCTTCCCGGGGTGTCGGGCCGGAGTGAGGGGTTGCCCTTTACAGGGAAAGGGAGTCGATCCTCGACCTCCTCAGGCCCCCGGGCCTTTGTCCTTCTCGCAGAAAAGCATTTCAGGAGATGAGCATGAAGCAGGAACATTTTATTTGGAGGCTTTTAGGAAGGGGAAATGAGGAAGGGAGTAACAGGCTCGAGAGAGAGTGCGGCTTCTCCAGAGGCGCAGAAAGCCACTGAACACGTTAGGTTGCCTGGTTGCGTTCGGTCCGAAAGTCCACACCTCAGGAGGGGAGAAGCCCGTGACATGACCGACCTCGTAGGCAAGAGCAGTCCCTGGGCTCGGGCACACATGAGCGCCCTCCCTTGGTTCAAGGGGGCTAATCTCGGGTTTTCCCCAGGCTGTCCCTGGTGGGAGTTTCTAGCTACCTAGAGTCCGTTGCTAGGGTGGTTGCCAAGGGGGTAGAGTTGAGTGGTCCAAGGTCCTCTTAGAAATTCCTTTCCTGGCCTTTGTTCCTATTCCCTCGGGGGGTCCAGCCTGCTCTGGGCCTCCTAATGTGGGTTAATTTTGACCAGACCTTGGGTCCCGTGCCCTCAGGTGGTCTTTTGGTGGCCATGAAGCTTTTGTTGACTTCCTCGGAGTTCCATTGCCATGGCGACGCTTCCCCCATCCACATGTCTGCCTCAGTTCTGTGGGTTAAGAAATGGAGTTAATACTGGCTTGTGGTTATCAAACTTGGGCAGCGTCACAGGGAACGAAGGAAACGCCAAAACCTCCTTCGCTCCCCTTTGGCGCAATTTTTTTTTCTTTCTGGGTCACACCTGGTGATGCACAGGATTTACTCCTGGGTCTGCACTCGGGAATCAGTCCTGGCAGTGCTCAGGGGACCATATGGGATGCTGGGAATCGAACCTGGGTCGGCCGCGTGCAAGGCAAACGCCCTACCCACTGTGCTATCGCTCTCCAGCCCCCCTTTGGCGCAGTCTTGCTGGGCCCTTTTCCCTGGCAGTTCTCAGCCCATAGTAAAAAGTGTGCCTGTTGCTTGCCTTAGCTTCTGTGTGTAACCCCGGGCCTCACACACACACATACGCACATACGCACACACAAGACCAGCGATCACTGCTGAGTCGCCTCCCGGCTAGTCAGTGTCTGGACGGGAAGGTGGTCAGTGACACTCACAGTGCACAGGGACGATTTCTGGCTCCTGAATGTGTTTGGGGGTGATGCCAGGGAGGGTGTGAGGGTCAGCTGCCCGCAGGGCAAGTACCTGTCCCCTCTGCCCTCTGGCCCTGAATCTGCTGTTGTTTGTTTGTCTGTTTGGGATTGAGTTTTTGTGCAGGAATGACACTTGGTGGGCTCAGGGGGCTGTGCGGGAGGCTGGGGGTCGCACTCGGGGTGGTGAGTGTCAGACTGGCAGCTCTCTGGGCTCCGGAAGCTGCTGTGGTCGCTCCCCTGAGACAGACTCTCTCCTCTGCTCTTCAGAGATTTATCCCTGAAAACGAGTGCGCCTCAGAAGGCCCCACAGTGGGCTCGATGGTCAGGGCCCGGTAGTGGCCGCGGCAGCGTCTGACCACCTGACCATGAGTCTGCTGAGGCCCAGCGGGCTGAAGGCCCCCACCAAGATCCTCAAGCATGGGAGCTGGGCCCTGAAGGCGCCCTCGGCCGGTAAGTGCGCTCAGCCCGGGCCAGGGGAGACTCATTCCCACCCGGGAACCCCCTCCCGAGTCCTCGCCCGGGAAGGGCTCCCTGAGCTGTAGGCACGTTCATGGCTCTGGGGACAGCTCTCACACACGAGTGTCACGTTCTGTGACTTTAGTGTCACGGCAACTGGTGTCAGCTGAGGCGACCAACACGCTCCCTCCTAACTGCTAGCCCCCTCGCCCGGGTTGGGGACAGGCTAAGGGAGGTGGACTCACCTGGACTAAAGGGCCTCATTGCCGGCCGTAGCCACAGTACAGTGGGGAGGGCAACCGGCACCCCATGGGACTCTCCAGCCTCAACCTCACATGAGTGACCCTGAGCGCAGAGCCAGAAATAGGCCCTGCGGACTGGCTGGGGTGCTCCCCCCCTAAAAGAAAAAGAAGATGGGCCAGTGGACACAGCAGAAATAAGTCACTGGGTTGGAGCTTTCGCCTGAATTGGTCCCTAGCATCACGGGGTGTGTCCAAAGATTTCCCCTCAGCTGCCCAAATATGACTGCGGCCTGGGATGCTGCAGTAGGTAGGCACGTCCCCTTCACGGCGGGCCCGGCCAGGCTTCGCCACAAGCAGCCCCCGGCATTGGCTGGGAGAAGCCCCAAGCACTGCTGGGTGTCCCTCCCCCCCACCACACTTTAACTGGACCTGGACAGGCCCTTCCTGACTATTCTGACCCTTCTGACCCTTTCTGCTGTTCCAGCGGCTGCTCCCGTTGAGAAGTCCGTGCCTGGGGACAAAACCCCCAGCGCCCCCTCCTCGGAGACGCAGGAGGAGTTTGTGGACGACTTCCAGGTCGGGGAACGAGTCTGGGTGAAGGGGAACACGCCTGGATTCATCCAGTTCCTCGGGGAGACCCAGTTTGCCCCTGGTCAGTGGGCCGGAATCGTCTTGGACGAGCCCATCGGCAAGAACGACGGCTCGGTGGCGGGTGTGCGCTACTTCCAGTGCGAGCCGCTGAAGGGCATCTTCACCCGGCCGTCCAAGCTGAGCAGGAGCTTGCAGGCCGACGATGAGACCAACGGCCTGCAGCCAGCGCCTGCCGCCGGGGCCACACCACCCCTGTCGGCCTCCCCGGCCCCTGCCGCCGCCCTGAAGGCACCCCAGCCCTCCGCGAAGGAGGCACCGGCCACCCCTCACATCAGCAACCTGACCAGGACGGCCAGCGAGTCCATCTCCAACCTCTCGGAGGCTGGCTCCCTCAAGAACGGGGAGCAGGAGCTGAAGCTCGGGGACCGGGTGCTGGTGAGTGCCGAGGGCAGCGGTCGCGGGTGGGTGTCCATTCACCTGTCTGGTCCATCAGGTTTTGCAGACTCGCGGTTTGGGTGGAAGGACGAGCAGCCGGGACGCCTGGTCCTGCAGTTTCCAGTGTGATGGATGCGTGCGGGGATGCTGCCAGTTTTACCAGTTTAGCCAAAACAGGATGGAGGGGTCATGCCTTGGGGAGGCCGCGTGCTTTGCATGCCTCTGACCCGGGGTTTACGTCTTGGTCCCATGTACAGTCTCCCAAGCACATCCCGTAGTGATCCCTGAGCACCAAGCCAGAAGTAAGCCCTGAGCACTCTGACTGTGACTCAGAAAACAAACCAACGAACAAATTTGGAAATCGGTTCCATTTCTCTGGTTTCTGATGTTTGTGTTTGGGGCGTCACAGGGCTCACCCCGAGCCGCTCCGGGCCATTCCGTGCCCGGCTGTGCGCAAGCCCTGAGCCGTCTCTCCAGACGTGTGTGGTTTGGTGTTTGGGCCACA